TTTAATATTTTTAGTATTAAGATATTTTAATTTTTTTTAAACAAATTCACAAAAAGTCGAATTCAAACAATTACCCTGAAAAAGGAGAAATGTATGATATATTTGATAAAATTAAATTTTATATTATATTTCACATATTTAATAATTGTGATTAAGTATCCTCATTTTCTTTTCTTTTTCTTTTTATTTAATACAAGAACAAGACTAAATTTCAACAATTAAAGGCAAAACTTTACGTTAGATCCTCCAACTTACTCCAAATTCTTGATTAATTTCTTAAATTTTTATTAAAAAAATAAGCCCCCTAAATTTTTGTGATTTATGTAATTTAACCTCTCTTTTTTATATAAATTTAACGTCTAGTTGTGTATCATTTTTATAGATAAAATATTGATATATTATTATTTACATGAGATGTATTGATTTTGTTTATGCAAATAAACATGTCATAAGAAAAATAATTAAATTACTCAATTTGACAAGTTTAGACGTTTTTTTATTTTAATAAAAATTTAAAAACTTAATAAAAAATATGAGATAAATTTAGAGACGTTAACATAAGGTTTTGCGACAATTAAATTCAAGCTCCTCACAGAAGGAACATACAAATAGCTGTGAACAAAAGGTAAACTCAATAACTTACAGGCAATATTACAAAGCTATGTGTATGTTTCTTCTGTAATGGGCAATATTATAGCATTTTCACAGAAAATGTCTAGTTTTCTGACCGGCGGCAAAAGCATCCTTAAGAAGGAGATGATCACTGGGATCATCTAGATGATTAGATCAGCGGCAAGTTCTTCATGCTTTGTTTGTGCTTGCTATGACTCTTCTACCACTAGCGTCCATACTTACCTCATAAGCCTATTACCTTTTCAGCAGCTCCTTTTGTTATATCCCTTCTCCTCTTTCTTGGTTCACACCCATGCATCATCCATCATCCACTTTTGCTGCTTTGCAAAATACCCATGTTTCCTTTCCTTTTATTGACTAAATGGAGGGAAAAAAATGACAGTGGTTGATGCTGCAGAGTTTCTCTCCGCTAAAGAGAAGAAATTGAGTCAAAAGAAAAGAAATTAAGTCTAAATGTGGAGAAAGACATGAAAGTGGGTTTTAAATTCAACCAAAACTATGGGCTGGTATTGTTAGTAGAATTCGCCAAGCTTCTCTCGACTGGTTTTGTTGTAATATATTCATTCAAACAAGTTGAAAAAACTAGTGAATATTCTTTAGGAGGCCCGTGACTATCGGCAACAGCAGCCATATCTGATTTTATTGTTCATGTCCATTATTGTTATTATTTTTTTTACATGAGAAAAGAAAAAAAATTAACATATTTTAATATTAAAATATTAAAAAATTTAACTACAACTATTAAATTTATAATGTATAATAATATATAGTGTAAACTTAATTATATTAAATTTATAATATAATTATTATCAAATAATTTAGTTCTTTTCTTTTTTCATTTTAAATTATAGCCCTTTTTACATTAGTCCATATATAAAGCAAAACCGGGCCCATCATTCCATTTCTTTTGCTGGGCCCTACCAGAACCGATCTGGAAGCCTGTCTGGTTGCCCAAAGTCGTTTTGGATTGGAAGTTTGGAACTAGTCGGATTTATAAACCATATATATACACTACTCTCCCTTAACCCTACCTTCGATTCACTCTTTCCAACAGCCAAAACCAGATCAAAATCAGAGTACGTTGGAGAAGACAATGGAATACGATTATCTCTTCAAGTTATTTGTCGTCGGAGGCGGAGGTAGCTGCTGTCGGCCTAACCATACATCTCTTTTAATTTAAAAATATTATGGACATTTGTTAATTTGTGTTTCTGGAGTTTGATTAATTTGTGGTGAGCACTGAGCAGGCGTAGGGAAATTGGGTTTGATACGTAGTTTAAAGGGAAATATTTTCGACGAGGAGAAAACATTGGCTGAAATATTAGGACTGGGTTTTCACCTATCCATGGTCAATATTGAGGGAAAGGCCATCAAGCTCCGTATTTTCTCCATTGTATGTCTTCTCTTTTCGCAGAAATCTGGATTAATTAAAACACTTCACTTTTTTCAAAATGCAAGACTTTTTTGAGTCTAAATTTCAGTTAAATTTACTCAAATTTCTAAGATTATTTTGTGTAGTAGAAAATTAAGGTTCCTTGAGTTTGGTTATATCATCATGTTATTTATATATTGGTTCTGAACCTTAAATATTTTGTTTTCCCATAAAAAAATATGGGAAAACTGATATCTGTTTCAGGGTGGACTAGATCGATTCAGTTGGTTTCATTCAAGTTATTCCAAAGGATTAGTTGGTGTTCTTCTTGTCTATGATATTACTAGGTGAGACACAGACCCTCATGATCCCCTCCTCCCTTCTTCTAGACTATTTAACTTTAATATTCAACTTAGGTAGGCATTAACGATTACAATTTGAATGCGGAAATCTAACATTTTGTACGAGTTGGAGAAAATGGCTGTACGCTTATCGGGAATTACCACTTCTTCTATATATACCTTATACACATATATACCTAAACATTTTTACTACTGTGATAGTCCTTCCTAAAATTTGGAAGCTTTAAGTTCTTAACCATTGTTACAATCTCTCTTTAAGGGATGTGTTGGATGGATTTCCCCTTCATTAGCTTTCTACTTTCATAATTTTATCCCCATGGGTTTTTAATTAGCAAGTAGCTGAGTGTTTTTCTTCTGAATTTGAATTCTAAGAGAACTGATAGGTTGAATTACAATATTATTGTGGCTTTTAATTAGAACCCTAGTATAATGTCCACCCTACTAGTTGTTTTGAATTTTCTTGATTAAAATGCAGCCTTGTTTGGTCTTTTATCAGGAGAGAGACATTTAACCACATACCAACCTTGATGAAGGTGACTGGGCATCCAGATCATCCCAACATTACTTACATGCTTGTGGGAAACAAGTGTGAACTAGAGAATGAGAGGGCTGTCAGCAAAGAAGAAGCAGAACAATTTGCACAGCAAAATGGGCTCCTGTTTGTGGAGACATCTGCTGCAACATCTCTAAATGTTGAGGAGGTGATTAAAAAAGCAAATATTACTTATGTTTTAAAATGTTATGTTTTATTTTAACATATTATGAATTAGAGTATTATCTTACAGGCTTTCAAGAGGACTGCTGCAAATGCCTTGAAGAAAATTCAGGATGGCCTTCTAATTCATGCGCCTTCTAAGGTACCCAACAACTCATTTTATTGTACATATATTTTGTTATCACTTAGCCAATCCCACTGTTTTGTTTCCAATGTTTGGGTGAGTGTATAGGATGGGGATAATATTGCAATCCCATTTTTCATCCTATCTTGATAAATTGTATCTCACCTCTCCTTTGGTATTTGGTGGGAAAAGGTCGGATTTTTATTTTTTTTGCCTCTAATTATTTAATCTCACTATTCTCTTGTCTCTTCCAGGCCCAACAACGGCGCCGACCACCACAGCAAAATCCATCTCCGTTTCACATCTTCGTCTACCCACTTTCGTTCCTCCTCCTTCTGCTTCTTTTTCTTCTCCCTTTCTCTTTCTCTTTCACCTCCGTCTTTCTTTCTTAATTAATTTCCATCTATCTTCATATCTGATTCGAAGACCTGGACCATATCAAACTGCAAAAGCTCGGTCAAGACAACAATGGGGATGACCACGTTGATTGCGTTACAAATCTGATGCGTGGGTTATTATTATTATGTTTTTTAATTTCTTTAGCTCTTTTTGTTGTTTATTTTGCCGAATTTAGATATATGTAATTAAAATATGTTCTCATCCCATCTATATATGGATAGAACTAGACTTGGTGGTCTTTTTATTAACCCAGTAAGGGATTTATTTTAGTGAAATATATGTCTTATATTTTGGTATTTCGAATTAATTTTCCTCTGGGGAAGTATCATTGATTTTCTCTTTTTTTTTTTTTTTTGGGAAAAGCGTTGCACCTGCCAATTTGTGACTATATTTTTAAACATCCAGTGGTGTCTTGTTGTCTGAAAGAATTTTTGATTTATTAGAAAGGTAAATGAAATTTTTGTCTCAAATGGTGGACAAAATCCTCGATATAATTAAATTTAGGGTAACACTAATATAAAATCTTACATTAAACTCTTAAAGTTACTCTAAATTTTTAATTAAACTTCTAAATTTTTATTGAAGTAAATAAATTTTTTTATTTTAATTACATAATAGAATAAAATTTTTTTATTTTTTATTTTATTCTATATGTATGTTATAAAATTTGAATTTAAAATTTTTTATTTTTAGTAAAATAATAATATTATTAAATTATTTAAATCTTTAATCAGTAAATAAATTTTCAAATTTAGTGATTTGAGTAATCTAATTATCTTTTAATTATAAATTTAATATTTGTTTATATCTTATTTGCATGAATAAAATCAATACTCATTATGTAAATAATGACATATTAATACGTTATTCACGCAATTGAGATACAAATAAACATTAGGCTTGTTATGAAAGAAGAAGATTAAATTACTCAATCAAATTCAAAAACATATTTACTTTAATAAAAATTTAAGAATTTAATTAAAAATTTAAAATAAATTCAAGAGTTTAACATAAAATTTTAATCGCTAATAATACACTTTAAGATCATGTCAAAAAATATACAATACCAAAAACAAAAAAAAAAAAAGAAAAAGCTATTAAGATAATAATATGGTATGACTGAATATTGAACTCTAGCATCATTGATCGACTTTATTTTACGAGTTTCCATTAAATTACCCATTTTTAATCTTGCTTGTAGTAGGGAATAATAAGTACAATGTTTTTGATGTATTTGTATTGTAATATCTCTAAGGAGACGACAGCCCATTGCTCAAAGAGTGAGTACTCGATTTCACTAATCCCAAATCCCACAAGCATCCTTCAATATTTCGTAACACAGATTAAAACAAATCATCATGGTTCATCACCTCTGTTCATTACTTTGTCACTTGTGACAACAACAGACCCCATCCGTCATCTTTTCTCAGAGAAGGAATCAATTTCCTCAAAATAAAACTGTCAGAGGCTGTACTCCTTTATGAGTTTAATGTAGGCATGGGATAACTCGCAAAATTGATGGTTTTTACTGCAATTCCAAGAGAGTTTCAGCCTTTTTACATGTGAATTTCTGAAAGAAAATTTATTTATTCTATATGAAGAATAAATATAAACATCTTTGTTATTCAGTGGATATCCTAATTAATGACATGTAGTTAGATCTTCCTCCAATAAGACCCAAACAATATGAACCACATGTAGTACTCGAAACCGTCCAACATTACCACGAAAAGGGATTGAAAAGGAAGTTATGACCTCTGAATTTAGAGTTTGATCTACCTACAACGGAGCAATAAATAAGATTAATACAATTGGATTTTTTAGTTCTGTATCACTATACCCATCTTACCCAGGTTTCACAATTCTATCCAACCACCAAGTTAAATACTCCAACTGTTCTCATTT